CTAGACTGTTGCTAGAGGGTTGTGAAGGTGTTCTGGTGGTTACGAAGGCATTGCTAGGCAGTTGCTAGAGGGTTTCTAAGGTGTTCTGGTGGTTACTAAGGCATTGCTAAGCAGTTGCTAGAGGTTTGCGAAGCTGGTGGTTACGAAGGCATTGCTAGGCAGTTGCTAGAGGGTTTCTAAGGTGTTCTGGTGGTTACTAAGGTCTTGCTCGGCAGTTGCTAGTTGTTTGCAAAGCTGGTTACTAAGGTGTTGCTAGGCAGTCACTAGAGGTTTGCAAAGGTGTTCTGGTGGTTAATAAGGCATTGCTAGAAGTTTGTGAAGCTGGTGGTTACTAAGGTGTTGCTAGAGGTTTGCAAAGTTGTTCTTGTGTTTACAAAGGCATTGCTAGCCAGTTGCTAGAGGTTTGCAAAGTTGGTGGTTACTAAGGTGTTGCTAGGCAGTTGCTAGAAGTTTTGCTTAGGTGTTCTGGTGGTTACTAAGGCATTGCTAGACAATTGCTAAGATGTTCTAAATGGTTACTAGTCAGTTTCTAGAGGGTTGCTAAGGTGTTCTGGTAGTTACTAAGGCATTGCTAGTCAGTTGCTCGAGGTTTGCGAAGCTGGTGGTTACTAAGGCGTTGCTAGTCAGTTGCTAAGATGTTCTAAATGGTTGCTTGGCAGTTGCTAGAGTGTTGCTAAGATGTTCTGGGTAGTTTTAAATAGATTTTCAATGGCTTTACAATGAACTGTACGTTTAGTGGATATCATGAAAAGACATTTAGAAACTGTGATCTTTGCTTAGAGACTTTGAAAAAACTCTAACCAAAGAGGGTAAAAAGCCAATGGAAAAGCTGACAATACTGATTGTAAAAAGACAAACAACTGCTGTTTTATGTGAATAAGCGTTTGAATCTGATGCTGATGAATGCCAATGATTGCTGTATATGTGTTTATGGGCTCAAATGAGCCAGAGAAAAGTCAAGAAGGATGGAGAAACTGTGAGAAAAACAGAAAAGTTACAGCAGCTTCTGAAAGCGCCAGTTCCAGAGATTTCCCTGCCCTCCTTGCTTTCCTCTCTCCTTTCTAGGATAGGTCTTTCTGCCTATTTATGGTCCATGGCTCATTCAACCTGCAAAGCTTAGAGGAATTCGGTAGGAGATTTAACAGCCACGGGCAGGTTTTCTGCACACAGTAGTCATCCGTATCCTGAACCCACCAACCAAAATGTACCGACGACTATTGTAAACAAGCAAATGGCATCATAAATCTGCTTGATGTTCTGTACAACACAGATTAGAAAAGATCCTCAAACAACTTTAATGCCTCATAAATATAACTATATAAAGATCATAGAGCATCTGGAATGCAAATCTACATCTGGGAACAACTTCAAGATGAATATCTGAGCGCAGTTCAGTTTGCTTTATAACTCCTGGAGTTGCGTATGAACATTATTTGATGTGCCGTTTTACTTTCTTTGCATATACAGTAAATGTATACTGTACATGCTCCGAAAACAAGTCATGAAAACCATCTCTGGCAGGTAATAGCAAAGTGAAAAGTACATGCTTGGACTTGGTGTGAGGCATACAAAATGTCACAGACAGCAGTACTGCAGATGTATGATGTGTAGTGTTGTGTGTGTGAGGGTACCAGGGGAGATTTCAGTGAGCCTCTGATGTACTGTGACCATGTTTGGTAAAAGTTATCCACACACACAGTCGCTCTGACCCAACCCATTGACCATGAGTACATGCAGTAGAGCTGGATTCAATCAGAGCCAGACTACAGGCTCAAAGATCTCTCATTCTTTCACTTTAATATTCTTTGTCATCCTCTTTGGCTTTCTTTACCTCCACTTTCTTCTGTCTTCTAGGATTACGTAAGCTCTGAGCTGAGGCATAACTACCTGATGTCATTTTCAACAGGTACTGAAGATAGAGATAGACACAGACAAACAGACAGATACTTCACTTTACAATACTTCTTAAACATGAGGATGTTCGGTTGCCACTGAACCAAATCAATTTTCAGTTAGCATGAAGAATTAGCAAACAACTGCCATTTGCCAACGGTTCTGCCAACAGAAAAGTGCTCTGAATGTACAAACGGCAAGCTAAATAGTCAAAACGTTCACTTCAAGAGTCAAATATCTACTTAAACCGACATTAAACAAACTTCCAGTAGATTTATGAACACATCAAAACATGTCATGATAAAGCGTTTCAAAAAAGTGTGTGAAATGTGTAAAGCAAAAGCATGAGGATGAATAATTTGACCCACTAAATTGAAAGTATTTAATTCATGAAACCATTCCATCATGTACTTAAATGTGTAAAAAGAGTATAAACAAAATAAAAAAAGTGAAACTAATAACTTCACTTATCCGTCCATCACAAAAAACTATAAACCTGAAGAAGCACATTTATAAATACATTACCATTCAAAGGTTTGCATTCAACGGAAATCATTCTAAAATGCTGAGTTGCTGCTCAAGAATCATTTCTGATTATTATCAATGTTGAAAACAGTCGTTATGCTTAATATATTTTTTTTTTTGGAAACATGATACATTTTGTTTCAGGATTCTTTAAGAAAGTTAAAAAAACAGCCGATTTGAAATCTTTGTGACATTATAAATGTCTTTACGGTCGCTTTTGATACAATTGATGCATTCTTGCTGAACAAAAGCATTACATTTTGAAGAGTAGTGTAAACTGTCGCATTCGCAGTCAGTCAACAATCCTAAACGCGAAATAAGCAAACTAATTATAAGAAAACAATTCAGGACTGCTTTTTATCATCTCACATTTATTAATCTGCCATTTCTCTCTTTGACTGCTATTTGGACAATATTATCATTAGTGGTCATATCATCCATCGGTTTCAAAGTGTACAGATACAGGGGATCTAAGGCCTCTGTTGGGTGTCGATTTTCACATAAAAATTTCCAGAGATGATTGGATCCACAACAGTAATTTGTTAAAAGAAAGAAAAGAAAAAAAAAAAGGTAAAATTGATCAAATCAAGAGATCGGAGACTCTTCTTAAAAGTGACTTCTTCTTCAAGACTGAAAGTATAAACACATACATAGAGATTCAATACTGGCATTGGGCTAGTCACCAAATTGCACGTAGTAAATAATTCCATTGAATACCAGGCTGTCTGAACAAAAGCCCGACAGCATAAGAACGAATTAAAAATCCCCGTCTAATCATTTGGACAGGTAGAAGAGTCTGTCTAGTCATCCTTTCATAGATTATTGCTCCTTAGTAATCACCAGAAACAAATATTTAAAAGCAATTTAATATGTCTAAATAAATCCATATAATTTAGTTGGTGACTGCTCATTTTTAAAACCACGAGCTTAAAACACTGACAAACAATTTGGGGCTCTTTGTGATCACAAAAAACACTTTTGTCTTGGTCTATCTGCTCTACGTGAGGATTGATCCAAACGAGAGCAGGCAAATGCGGCACAGATTATTACAAAGGTCTTTGTAAACAATGTACCAATAAAATCCAATGGGACATTTGATATGGGGAAACCCATCTACTAAGTTTATCCTGGATATAGATATCGTATATCGATATAGATATAGATATCCTGGATATTTTTTCACATTCTTCCACCCTTGAATCCACAATGACATAGGAGTTTAAACTAATCTGAGGCAAGGCAAGGTACTAAAGTTAGTTTTGTGTTAACTCTATAGCTGCTTTATACTAGTACAGTCCTATCTATACTTACTATATTATTTTATATACTTAAATGTTGTAGCTTACATAGCAACAGGTGACCATTCTACAGAAAACAATCAATAACTGTAGAGAAATGTCAGTTTTTATGAATATTGAACCATTTTTGCCAATCAAATTTATTATTTTGAGTATCGCCAATCAGTTTTGTCCAGTAAATGAACTTGAACTTGAATTTCGATCAGCCCTTCAAAATTACAAATATTACAATATCAATGCCACAATGGCATTTCGATTGTGCAACGGTTGTGTGGATGACGTACCATAAAGCCTAACCTCCTTTGCATTTCCATAAACACGAAGATTGCAGCTCATTTCAGACATTCTAGATACATATAATAATTACATGACCAATTGGCCATTTTGTTCTCCAAAACAACACCCGAATATATTTCTATTGTCACAGCTTCACATATTCAAGGCCTGGAGGAGGATTTGGTTATTTCGAATTATGGATATAAGGCAAAATACTACATATCCCACAATCATCTCCCATTATCATTCAAAATATCATTCATTTTCAAAGTGTACCTGAACTTCAGAAGAGAAACAGTGGCTCTGACTACAGAGGGATTTAGTCAAATACTTGGCAGGAATAAGTACTGCATATGTTTTTACACACACATATATACACTGTATCGTAATGCCACAGCGCAACACAACATGGGTTGACATGCCCAGCAGGAAGTCACATTCAAGAGAATCACAACAGCATTCATGAATCATGACAAAAGCCTAAACGTCAGGCTGGAAGTTCTGGTGACCAACAAGCTAAAAAAAAAAATTTTAAAAAAAGAATTTGGCAGGAAGAAAATGACAGAACCAAGAAAAAACCAGGACTGAGATGTGAATTTGCACCAGTTCCCATCAAGCCTCGAGGCGTTGAATGTTTAAATAATCTGCTTGGTGAGAACAAAACGGATTAAAACCCGTGCATGTGATGCACCTTAAGCATGTTGGAGAAAATGGAGGGCTCTAGAAAAGGCTAGAACCTGAGAAATGGATAAAAGCACTGCAGTTTCCTCCAATCCAATGCAAAAAATGTGACCTCACATGGTCAGAATTGAAGCATGCACACAGGTATTTGCTAAAGGAAACCACCTTTCACTCTTTGATGTGCAACACAAGATGAGTTCTAGAAGTCTGCACTATAAAAGCAAAGGCTGCGAGTGTTTGATTCTTGTGGCCTTTTCAAGATGTTCCTCAAGTCCAAACGGTGTTCGTTCTTGTGCTTGACACGGTGTGAGAGGTAGATCTGAGGTTTCCCGGAGACTTGACGATGACGTAAGATTGAGTGAAGTGGATGAGCACTTCCGACCAAATGCGCAACAAGTTTAGGATGTCGTTCACTGAGGCACATCAGTGTAAATATCACAGGAAACACGGCTCCCAAAGCAACCACGATTGGTTTCGAGAAAAACATGCATGGGTACTGACTGGCTAAGGCTTTGATGGAGATCTGATGGACTTTTCGTGGTCACAAGCTCACATGTCCATGTTCTATTGCTTCTCCTTGTGCTTGGAGGCACTTTGGTTGTGTTTGAGGCATAGCAGGTTAGTTTATCGGCTTGACTTTCACCGGTGTAGGCCAAGTCAGAGTCTCTGTACATGAAGTAGAGGTTAAAACCACACTGGGATGATGAAACTGTCTCCTCTCAACCGTCGTTTCGAGAGCACATCCATCCAGAGCGCAATATAAAGACTCAGAAGTTGCTATATTCTGGGAAGAGAATACGTCTAATCTAATCTGTCGTGATTGCGGATGATTCTCAGTCTGTGTGGTTGTTCATGTAATTGGTCTTTTTGGAGACCACTTTGCCTCCTCTTAGCTTGCCTGTTATGACCTTGTAGCAGCCGCGGGCGATTTTGTACATCCAGATTGTGTTTAGGATATCCAAGCAAACGCAGGATACGATCCAGGCTACCTGAGCTGCCAGACCAAGCCTTTCGAATGCTGGCGTACCGAAGGTGCCAAACACTTTTGCCCAGTAGGGAGGCATCACGGCAATCCGCACGAGGAAGAACACGACTGCCATGGCAACGCCGTTGGCGACAACCAGCGGGTGAGTACGAGGGTAAGCTAACGCTTCGAAAAACCACCTGCAGAGAGAGAAATAGAGGTCAAATGAGACGTTCAGCATTTGGCGAGTTAATGATCTAAACAAAACCTCTTTAATGGAATAAATTAATCTCACCTTTGATTCACAAATGGCGTTGACAATTCTGAAATCAGTCGGAAGTTTGCAAAATAAGGAAGCACTCCACGTGTCTGGAAAAAAAAAAAAAACATTAAAAATGTAGATCATACAGACAACTGTTTGAATACCTCTCCTATGACGAACATGTTTTCATTTTCTGAATTTAAATTTATTTCATATTTTACATGATAATTGAGAGCAATTGTTTTTTTAGGTGTTCTAACCATCCTGAAATAGTAATGAAGAGGAAAAAGTAAAATAATAATAATAATAATAATAATAATAATAATATATATATATATATATATATATACTGCTATTAATAGTAGTATCATTATTATTGATAAAATGTATATTATTATTTAAAAATAAGTAGTGAAACATTAGTTTTAATATCTGAAAAAAGCTTTATCAGCCAAATCAAAGTCAGAGAGGTGTAACCAACATGTCTAACTAACTAGGCTTATTATAGTTAACGAAAAAAATAAAACTAAAATTAATAGTTTTGTTACGAACAAAATAATGTAAACGTTAACTAAAATCAAATCAAATCTAAAAACAAGTTTTATTTCAGCAGGTTGCCAAGGCAACATTTCTCCTTTTAATTTAGTTTAGCTTGATGTACTAAAATAACAAACTAATACTGAAATAAAAATAATAAAAGCTAGACATATACATAAAAATCCCAAAAATTATTAAAAATATAAACATAAAAACTGATTCCAAATATTAGTAAACACTATAGTATCGAAAATAATATGGTAACTAACTTACAAAATAAATAAATAAATGACAAGCCCAAGAAAACAGGCAATTTGTGATATTCAAAGACAATATTCTAAAATGACAAAAATCTAAATTTAAATTTAAATTAAAAAAGAACTGTTGAAAATTACACTTTAAGAGACTTACAGAAACTTTTCTATAAAGTATGCATGACACCTTCTAAGAACTTTCCAAAGCTTCTCCCTTTTATTTGAATCTTATCATCAAAGATGTTTTATTTTTATCCTTATTTATAGTAAATATCCACAATTTCAAGAGCTTTCCATGTCCTCTGTATTTCCAGGTACTTACCAGCACAAATCCGTAAGCATACAGCGCCGCCAAGTGGTGACAGACAAAAAACACATCGCCCATGGTACTCCAGTTACAAGCTAGAAGCACCAGGTCTGAGAGAAGAAGAGATGATGGAAGAGAAAACCAGAGAGTATGTAGACAAACCTGAAAAGATCTATGTGTAATCTGTGCTTGAACTTCCAGAATAAAACAAAGCTTCATACCATAGAACAGGTATCCACAGGTGATGGCCACATTGAGCTTAACCATGTTCGGATCACCCCTGAGGGAGGAAAAACAAATGCTACAGCTCAACAACACAGTATAAGAAATGCAGTCAGTCGGCAATGGAAGAGTTTGGATTTAACAAGATTAACATGAACTGCTTCTTTCTGAAGGGTGTAATCCGTTAAAGCGTCACCACCCAGTTAACCTGAGGGAGCGGTGCTGTTTCTGACTCGAGCCATACTATCACTGGCAACACTGACAACTGTACACCTGACATTACACCATGAAATCATATTCCAATGACATAAAACTCACCAGGTCTGAGAGAAGAAGAGATGATGGAAGAGAAAACAAGAGAGTATGTAGACAAACCTGAAAAGATCTATGTGTAATCTGTGCTTGAACTTCCAGAATAAAACAAACGCTTCATACCATAGAACAGGTATCCACAGGTGATGGCCACATTGAGCTTAACCATGTTCGGATCACCCCTGAGGGAGGAAAAACAAATGCTACAGCTCAACAACACAGTATAAGAAATGCAGTCAGTCGGCAATGGAAGAGTTTGGATTTAACAAGATTAACATGAACTGCTTCTTTCTGAAGGGTGTAATCCGTTAAAGCGTCACCACCCAGTTAACCTGAGGGAGCGGTGCTGTTTCTGACTCGAGCCATACTATCACTGGCAACACTGACAACTGTACACCTGACATTACACCATGAAATCATATTCCAATGACATAAAACTGCATTCATTTCATCTGGGTGAACATACGGAGACATCTGGACTGCTAGTAATCTACAGCGTTTGCATGCAATCATATCTGGTAAGCAAATACATATCTAGCTAACTGCAAATATAATTTAAAAACGTTTAGTGTATGAAACGAATTGCCATCAGACTGTTAGTGACACTGGGCTGTGTTGAATTCAAGTTGTGAGAGTATCTTGTAGTGAACAGAGTGTTGGGACCTTTTGAACTGTCTGATCTCAGATCAATTTCATGCATTAGAAAAATACAGAAATACATTTTATTTCCCCCCAAATTCTATGTTATCCATTTGAATTTTTAGAATTTTGTTTTAATGGTAATAATAACCATAAAGAATGTCTAATTGGTCTGCATCCTTAAAACTTTAACAATTAATTTGTCTGAATTCTGTTTTATGATTTATTTATAATCAAATATGGTGAAAAATGTATTCATAAAACAATTGAATTAATCTTTACAAATGTAATCAAATTTGAACAATTCCTAATAAAATGTTATATTCCGTTCACTTTTAACAAACAAAGAGCTGCACAGAAGAGGATTACTGTTTAAATGAAAACATGGATGAAAAATATGTGATATTCCTTAAATTGTTTTAATAAACTGTTATTATTATTAATTTGTACAATAATAATATATTTCTGTCATAATTTCTTCAAGTTAAGCCGACTCTTATTTTGATGGGTTGTCATGAAGCCACAGAATGAATGAATGAATGAATGTAACTGTGACTTTTTATCTCACAATTCTGACTTTTTTCCCCTTGCATTTCAGAGAAAATTGCGAAATATAAACTCAGAATTGCGAGATGTAAGCTCTGAATTACAAGAAAAAATTCTGAGTTTATATCTCAATTCAATTGCGAGTTTAAATCTCGTAATTCTGTTTTTTTTTTCCCTCGCAATTCTGAGAAAAAAATGTTGTGAGATAAAAATTCACAATTAACTTTTTGAAATCTTTTATTCTGTGGCAGAAACAGACTTCATAGCTTTGAGTTTCCGTGTGTATCTGATAAAACCATGCTATTCATTCACAAAGAGACACGCGGAACGTGCAGACTTCATATTTAAATAGCAACCTTTTGTGCTTTAATATTCAGACACTAGTCCATATCGCGATTTGATTAAGTGTACAGCCCTACTTTTGATTTATTCATCCAAATTTTGCCAAATTCCATGACATTTCGTATTATACAGTAAAATCTATTGTAATGACTGGATTCCGCGATTCTGTCCGTGTTTTCCTCATCGCAGAAATTATAGATCTGATGATTTGATTAGGTCCTTTTGAACAAAGACCTGAATTAACAAAGACACTTTATTCAGAGATATTTAACAAAAGGGCACATAAACTAATAAACAATCATTCCTGTAGCTCAAACAGTAGAGCACTGCACTGAATGTAAAAGTAAAAAAACTGATGGAGACAAGCATCAAGCACGCTGTTTAAGCTGTTTTCATGAAAATACATTCAAGTGCACTTGCCGGGGTCATCTGAGAGTTACAAAAGAGATGAAATAACTAAACAAACCCATGCGCTCGCCATATGGAAGAAGAATATCTCGGTGAACGGATAACAAGCCAGCGTTACAGTATGTGTGTCTCTCTGTGACCCTGTAAAGCGATCAGGGAACTGATACACGGCAGTCGCGGGTGTCCAGTAGCAGAAGAGGTGTGTGTGAAACACATTCTTAATTCAAACGCTAGGGAAGGAAGCTCAGTTACCCTGAGCGTGACCCCGCTGTCACCTTCACTGACCTCTGACCCCTCTGCCAAACAAACACTGGACTCTCACTGGCCGCCAGGGTCAATGCAGGATTTTACACCTGGAATATGAAGTCTTACATGTGCAAGTGGCTCTGAAGTATTTACAGTATTTCTTAATTTGGACAAAATAAGAAAGCCTTTATTTTAATAGACCACATTTGTCCATCTGCTGAAAGAAATCATGCACTTTCTAACATTTAAAAATATCTCTGGTGTTTTGCATGGTCCTACATGTGAACCTGCTCATCTGTTTATGAACAACATTAAAATCAGAGGTCAATGGCTTGCAGTATTAATACTTCTATTATGGAACATTCTAGATCATGCAGGAGAACATGATAATTATTAGGTTTTATAGAAACTCTACAAAGTCATAAAGTAGACGATGTACAATATACCAAGACTTCTTGAAAAGTTTCTGAGAAGTTTATATACAATTATGACGATTATACAATTTGTTATGACAAAATTGCATTAAATAAAAATGCAGTTTTTCCACCAGTGGTCTAATAAGATGCTCACAAAATTGAGAAATTAAATCATGCATTTATTTTATAGAATATTTCTGACAATTCTCTAAAAGGGGCATATATATCAACCAATGTCAATTAAATCAAATGCAATAATTTTAACAATAATAATAATAATAATAATAAGTACTTTGCCTAGGGTTATGATAGTTACTGAAACTAAAACCATTAAAAAAATTGAAATAAAACATTAACTGGAATAAAATAGAATATATATAAAAACTTATTTTATTTCAGATAGTTGCCAAGGCAACATTTGTCATCTTCGTTTAGTTTAACTTGAAGTGCTAAAATAACTAAAACTAAATAAACTAAAATGAATAATTACAATTCATAAAAACTATATAGACATTTGGAAAAAAAAAAGAATAAAAATACACAACAATATGACTAACACGTAAACTAAAATTAAAATGAAAACAGAAAATATAAAAATAAATCCTAATTCAAAATATCAACAAAAACTGTAATAGTATAGCAATGATAGTAAAATAACACTGCTGTAGCCTTAAGTACATAACCTTTGTGATAATTTGGAAGGAAAAAGAAATACGACACCAGAATCCATTTCAACTATACATTTATACATTTTCATTAAAATTCTTCTAAAAATAATTTTGAAGTGTTAGCCTATTTTATCTATTTCTTCCATGGAACATGTCATCCTGACATTAACTTTTCACCAACATAATTATCAAGTTATTTTATTCATAGCGGAGTACATTGATTTAGGAAAAAAATTATTTAGGCCAAAGTTTAATTGGACAGACAGACAGACAGACGGACGTAGTATTAGCCTTTAAATGGACACACCTAAGCAAGTTTCTTCAGCTTTGATCTCATTCAGTTCACTATCTGGACAAGCAGGTCAGCTTTAGAGAAGAGATTCAGACAACTGACCCGACACGACAGGCCAGACTTACAGCACAGACGAGTCTAATGAAAGCCATTTTCATGTAAGGATGGATGACAGTGTATGCGGCCTTTACTATAAAACACAAAGAGATCAGCTTGAAGGTTTGAAAAGGCTCTGTGGAGTGTAACTCTTCAGGCGAGACTGGATCAAGTAAACTGGCGTAAGGCTATCATCTCTGACTGAGCATTTAGCAAACAAAAACCCAACGACTGAAACAATTCAACTTTCTTTCAACAATGTGTTGAGTCATTCTACACAACGAGTGCCTTTTGCGTCCTTCATTATGTAAATAATGACTGTAAAAAATGTGAAACAAAAGGAGTGAGGACAGACAAAAGAAAGCATAAAATAAATTAAAAGTGTAGACTCTTTCCCAACCTGCATCACACTTTGTCTTTGTTTTGAATTTTTCAAAATCCTCTAAAACTTTATTTCCTGGTTTCAAATGAAAAGCCAAATCCCACATTTGACATGATATAAACTAAAAGGCATGTAGTTGTGCCCGCAGGTCACGCATCAACCCAGGTACCATCATAACTAGCCCTTATTAAAATAATCGTATTATTTCATACTTCAAAAACTGAAGCTGACATCATCCTCCTTTCAGCAAATGAAGTCTGCGAAGACATGAAAATATCCTTATCACTTCATCTTACATTTTGGTAAGTTTGCTAGAAGGAACACTCTTGCCATCATTTTATACAGTAAACAACTGATGAAACTCGAAAATAAGATGTCTGTAGAAATATTAGCACTACATTTATCTTCTAAAATTCACCTTGAAGCATCACACCCTTGAGCCAGAGTTATTTTCATAACATTTATATATCATTGTAGTTTATATTAATATTTTGAGTTAGTTTTTATTTTTATATTATGTTTTTATGTAAATTTGATTGGTTTAGTTAATTTTGTTGTATCCATCCATCTAGTTTTTATTTATTTATTTTTTTCAGTTTTTGTTATTTTAGTACTTCAAGTTGAAGAAGTAGAGTTGAAATTGAAATAAATTTAGTTTAGGTTTTCTTATATTTTACTTTATTCCACTTCAAGTTGATTTTATTTTAAGTAACACAAATGTTTTTTTTAAATATATTTTTAGTTGTTTTAGTTAGTTTTAGTTAACTATAATAATAATTATGCCTTGAGCACGAGTTATATGTTGTTTTTCTGCATTTTTTAAATGTATGTCTACTTAGCTTTTATTTCATTTTTCATTTGTTATTTTAGTACTTCAAATTGAAAAAAAAAAAAAAGAAATGTTGCCTGGCCAACTAACTGAAATAAATTTAGTTGACATTTTCTTACATTAAGTTCACTTTACATTTATTTTATTTCAAGTAACAAAAACGCTTTTTTGATGGTTTTAATTGTAGTTTTCGTTTTGGTAAACTATAATCATGCCTTGAGCACAAGTAATGGCTAAACTGTAAAACTGCCAACTCTGTTACCATCGGCCCTGAAATGCATTATTTATAGACTGATATATATTCATATTGATCAGTGTAGCTTGAGATGCACAATGCAATTTACTACATTAGAAACGGGATATTTACAACTCATGCAGTGGCTACTCAGACGTCTCACAAGAACAGCAAAATAAAGACAAAAACCGTTCTAAACGGTGTCATGATCCCACTGAAGAGTCAAACTGGACTCAAAGCAAAAACAAAGAAGAAAAGAGCAAAGCAGACCAAAGAGGTGACATTATCTAGTATGAAATTTTACTTTAAAAAATGGTGAAAAACCTTGTTCAAAAAGGCATCCATATCATAGAATGACCCTGTTTGTATTGACATAAGGATGCGGATGAGATGAGGTTTGGATGGGAATGAAGTCTCAGCAGTCTCCCTCTCTACTCAGTAATACTCTTTATGTTATGTTTTTTGGGGGAGCATTACTGGCCGAGGTGGCCTATGGGACAGTGAGAGGGACTGATCAGAGGAGAGAGGGGAACCAATCGTAATCGAGATGGTCTCCCTACTCTAACTATAATATATATGACTATAATATATAACTATAAAATATGTTAATATTTTCACTGGAGAAATCAATATTATGGATTTTGGACTCGTTTTGGACCCGGAAGCAACAGTTTGAAGATAAACTGTCTTAATGATGGATTTGTTTCTTACAAACACAGCTTTTCACTTCACAAGACATTAATTGATGGACTGGAGTGGTGTGGATTATTGTGATTTTGTTGTGATATAGGTTTTGAACAGCCGTTTGGACTCTCATTCTGACGGCACCCATTCACTGCAGAGGATCCATTGCTGAGCAAGTCATGTGATGCTTCATTTCTCCAAATCTGTTCCCATGAAGAAACAAACTCATCTATATCTTGGATGGCCAGAGATTAAGTAAACTTTCAGTTTTGTAGTTCATTCCTTCATAAAAAATGTAATTACTTTTGTCTTTTCTTCTCCATTTACTTTTTTACTTCAAATCAAAGATGTCTGACAAGATACAAGGCTCTTTATTAAAGAATTTCCTGAAATCTCTTTGCAGAAAATGATTGGGGAAAATGACCTTGAGAACCAAGGTTGCAGAAAAGGTGTTGCACTCTATTAAATAAGCAAAGGGAAATGCCAAAAGAAGAGGAGATGAATAGAAGTGAGATGAAAAGGAGATATGTGCTCTGTTCCTAGTGAGCTGCCTTGCTGTGTTTTTTGGAAAGCTTTTTAAAAAAACAGTATTAAAAGTATTATTATTATCATTATTATTACTATTAGGCCATAAAATGCTGTCTTGGTAGGTAGCTCACTAGGTTTTGGACCAGAGCTACAGAGGACAGAGGATGTGACAACCACTAAAGACAAATTACCATTCTTCCCCTTCAGGATGCAAAGATGCAGACCAAACAGGCAGCAGGCAGAAAAGGAAATATCAAAGAAGAAAATAAAAATAAAGAAAAGAAGACAAATGAGACGGCAGTTGTCTGCCCTGGCGACTACAGAGGACACATTACTGATGACAGAGCAAAAGTTTCAATTAAAACTTTTGGATAAAGCAAAATTTGTCTCAGTTGGACATATAATCCTAGATACTGATAGGTACTAATTGTAGGTTTGATTCTTGCAATTTAGGACCCATATGGATTCAAAAATAGCTGTTCTGCTATAGACCCTTTTTTTTTTTGTTGAGTTTTTAAACTGAAAAAAAAAGAGAAAAATATCACAATGAGATCCAAAAAGTACACAGAGTTGAAAAGCCGCCCTGTTTTTGAACTCTCTGCAACTTACCAGATGGGGTCTTCATTGACGGCGTCGTCGTACCAGAGGATATAGAGGCAGAACAGCCCCACAATTAATGCATGGACTGTGGACACAAGCCTGAGGACATAAAAGATGAAACCACATTCAAACAACATTTCAGTAATCACCAAAGTTTGAGTTTGGCGCTCATTGTTATTCTTCCTGTCATTCCAGTTTCAACTTCCTGTACAGTTGCCTATTCAGTCCAATGCATGAATCTGAATTTTCAGATTCCAAATAGACACGTATAAGTATATAGTCAATAATTGAATAACTGTGCCAAGGGCCACAAAAAGTCATTGTATCATTTGCACACTGGGTCAAAAGAAATCAGCATTAGGAATATCACATAGATAACATGATGCTGAAACCGCAGGAAATGGTATCTACGGTAGATAGCTGACAGTGAAGGAACTATGTTTTGATCTGATCCATTAGTGTGGTGTGCATGTGTGTTTGTGAGAAATCATTGTCTGTGGACTGTAGATTTTCATATCTGTTATCTGCACAGTAAGAAACCCCTGTGTGTGCCACTATTTGACAGCACACAAAGCAAAAGGAAAAATATTTTATGAAAACCAATGATCCAATGTTTTGTTTTATTTTTTTTTTGCATTCTCTGTTCCACCATGTTAAGTCTTGTGAATAAAGTAATCAAGGAAATGCTTTGCTATCACATTACCTGATTACATCAGATGAACGATACCACCTTACTTTCAACCCTTGATAGTGTGAAAAATGTTTCATCATTCAGGCAGAAGGTTTTAAACAGGTATCCATAAACTAATTTAAAAAGAGATAAGCAAACTATTGTGCAAAATACTCTAATTACAAGTATATTATTGTACCATTTAAAACAAATCAGGGTTTGTTACACTTTCAGAAAATGAAAGTGGTCTTTATAGGTAGTGTTGTTTTTGGTGGCCTGCTTTAATTTTAGTCTAGTCTTTGTGTGAAACTGTCATTTTAGTTTTTATTAGTTTTAGTCACGTTCATACTCTTTTTAGTCTAGTCAAGTTTTAGTCAACTAAAAGTCTGAGCATTTTAGTCTAGTTTTAGTCGACGAAAACTGAT